GGTTCACTGGTTTGAGATGGACGATTCCATTTTCTTATGTGTACATGAAAACGTACATGTGAGTGGTGAAGACTGTAAAGCGGGGTAGAATATGTCTTCTTTTGAGGGTAAAAATAATAACTGTTTTGTATCTACCAAAGATCTTTACTCAAGAAATGTGATACTGAATGGTATTTAGATAATTATGTATGTTGTTTACCATAAAAATTGAAAGTCCATATGAAAATGTTATAGCGTTTAATTTGTAGTTGTGGAACCCCCTAAATTACAAATGAACTGTTCCAAACCCGTTACGCGCTTGACTGATCACCTACAGCGTACCGTTAGCCCATGAGGAAGCTACCTTGAGGTCGAATTCAGGGAATAAAATTGCACTGCTACCAAAATATTGTCGTAATGATGCGTTTTAGCAAATCCACTGGCGTTCCATATCTGTGACCGAAACGAAGCACGACCGAAACGAGGCGCGACCGAAATGATCGGCTACCCTAAACCCTACCTAGGCCTAGCCTACCTAAAGAAGTAGGCAGCCGCATAGGCTAGGCCCTAGCCTAGGTCAGGGCCTAGCTAGGCCTAACTAACTTAGCCTAAGATTAGAAGTATAATAAGCCTACCCTAGACCACTCACTACCATCGCGGAAGTATTGTAATTCTATAGAAAGAACCAACAACGTATATTATCAGCAATGATAACTAACGTGACTTTTGCAACGTAGCACCTACCTACCAAAGTCAAACACGAGGCACGTTGACCACTGCGAGTCGCGGAACCATCATGCAGGGTTCCCAGCTAGGCGCCACAGGCCAGAGCCATATATATTCACACACACGCCATCTCACGGCCAAACTTTTTTTAGATATCGGCCAATCGCCAGATTTTATCCGATTCAATAACAGTGGGTACATATTCATTTGAAATACTACAAAAATTACACGAAAATCAGCGGTCATTCGTTTGAAATTGAAGAAATGCAAATGATATACAGAACAATGTTAAACTTTCACTGTTTTTCTTCTTTTAACTAATCTATCACCATAAAATACATGCGATCAATTTTTCTTTCTTTTTTTCGCCCCCACCTCTATAAATCCGCCTCTGCTATTTAAAATCACATTATTAAGAGTAATCTAAATTTGATTTAAATGTATTAAATATTAAATTTAAGGTAGGCCTACATTGTAGTCGATAGGGCCTGTTATTGGCAAATCCCTGGCTCTCTTTAATTAGAGTGAATTAACAACCTAACTCCAGATTACGTATTCTTCGAA